GGCGACGTTCCTTGTGATGTACTTCCAGTTGGCTTCGACCGGACGTCGTGAATCGCGTCAGATTGAAACAGAGCTGCGCAGGCGTTGCAGGAAGGTGGTATGAATCGTGGGCATTCATTGGGAAGCGAACCGCCGTGAGGACTCCATCCCAGGATCCGTTTACGAGGTCGTCTTGGCACTTGAAGTTTTTGAACAGCATCAAGTTCGTGGTTTGATGAGCACCTCGACCATGGAGTTGGCTTGAGGGGGTTGCGCGTGTGATGAACTTGCGACGAAGTCCATATTCACCCGGAGAGTCTTCCTGACCTCTAACGCGGAACTCATCCTATTCCATGATATCCTCAGCCGGCCATGGATACCGAGTTAGCCACGTTTGTTCTGACGATGGCTACTTCGTCTGCTGCCTTGGAGCAGATCTCTGCAATCTCGAATCATCCGGTTACGGGATCAATCATTGTCAGCAATGAAGTTACAGGAATTCTTTTTCTTAGGATCCCGACGTTGTAAGGCCTATCAGGTCAATACATAGTCTTTCCCAAGGGATCTCCTCGCAAGTCTTTGGAGGCACAATCCCAGCTTACGCGTCTTTGGTTTTGTTCATCTGGCAGCTTTGGCAACGCTGACATACGGCCTGCACAGTCTTCGCAGTCCTTTCAGGTGTAGTGTTGGCTGATGGTTTGTTCTGTGCGAGTCTCGCCAGGATGCATCAGCACACCATGGTACCATTCGACTAGCTTCTTCTGCATAGGTCTTAGGTACGACGATCTTATCGTCCTTAACTACTAAGTCGTAAGACTTATCCCCTCTGGGGAAAGATTGCTTCTGTAGTCGTTTGGCTTGTCCCTGAGAGTTTCTTGATATCGTTGTCGTCTTTCTTGACGATGTTCGATCTCGGGAACGAGAGAGGGAACTCGCTAGGGAATCCTCTTCGTCTGCACCATGAGCTCAGCGTATCTCGTGGCGTCCATTTGTTTGAAGAACCGTCGTTGTTGAGATGTTAAGTCTCGACAACGCATCAGCAACGATGTTCTGTTCGCCCTTGATGTACCGTAGTTCAGGGCCGTATTCTTCCAGAATAAGGCGCCATCGCATTAGCGATCGGTATTGAAGTTCTTACATGTAAGATTCTTGTGGTCCGTATGCACAACGATCTTCTGTCCCAGAAAAATGTTACGGAACTCTTTTAGAGTTTCTACGATACTGAGAAGTTTCTTCTCGGTAACGTGTAACGTGTCTGAGCAGGGTTGAGCTTCCTGCTGTAGAAACGCGATAGTGTCCCTTCTGGGAAATTACTGCACCTAGTGTAGTATCACTCGCATCCGTGTGATAACGAATGTATCGTTGAAGTCAGGTAAGCGAGCAAGGTTTCTTTGTGATGTCTTCTTCATCTTGCTAAACCTTGTCGTGTTCGGCTTCCCATTTCACTTCGTTGTTTTGGAAGTCAACGAAGCGAGTGGGCCAGTACATTTGATCGTCTAATCCACATGTCTCGATAGTAGTTCACTAGTCCAATGAATCTACGGAGTTCTTTTTCTGTTGGTAGGAGGAGCGATATTCTGGATCGCGTCTATTTTCTTGGTTATAGGTTGGATCCCTTCTCGAGTAATCCAGTAACCTAAGTATTCAAGTTCTCCTCTCGAAGAAGGATTGGTAGCATTGATCTTAAGTTCGGCTTCTCGAAGCCTTCGGAGAACTTCATCCAACTTTTCAACGTGATCTGCCAGATCGCCGTTAGTTAGGATGAGTAGATCATCAATGTATGCACGACGTATTCAGGTCGTGCATTAGTGTTCCCATCTTCTCTTGGAAAGTGTCGGGACTATTACATAACCCATTGGCAACCTTGGTATCGTCTTTCCCCACGGGAGTACGTGGTACAGAGTTGCTTCGAGTGAGGTGACAGCTCGATGGGATAGTATCCCATGTTCAGGTCTAGACTATAGCGTACTTGAATCCATCTAGATTCAAGAGCATGTCCTGTATTTTTTGGGATAGGATAAGGTTCCGCTTAATCCTTTTGTTCAGTTCCCGGAAATCAGAGATGAATCGTACAGATCCATCTTCTTGGGAATGATAAAGTTGGTGCCGCCCACTCGGAACGGTTTACCTTCTTGAGTACTCCTGCCTCGCAGAGAACGTTCAACCTCCATTTTTAGAGTGTTGGTATGGACCCGTGGAATAGGATAAGCCCTGGCATGATAGGGTTTAGCATCAGGGAGAAGTTCTACTTCGTATCGTCCATCTGCCACTTTCCTAAAGTACCATCGAATAGGTCAGGTACTTCGTCAGTAAGGATGAAGCTGTTCCTTCTCTTCCGTGTTTAAATGATCTGACTTTGACTTGGCAACCTGCCTTAAGTCAGCTTTTTTGTATTTCGCATCAAGAATCTCTTGAGACGATCTGCCTGTCATCAACAGCAGTAGGATCGGAATGAAGAAGTTCTCTTCTTCATTGGTTCGCTTCTTTCATAAGAATAGATGCGCCGTCCCACTCCACTGACATGGTAGTGAAATCGAACTTAATCCTAAAGTCAGGAGAGAATGTCTCGACCTATGATCATGTCATACGCCCCCAAGCTCTTGGTGATGTGTAAATCCCACTCGATAATTTATCTTCGGGAATTCAGGAATCATGAATGCACCTTTGCACTTCGTGCTGGTGTTTAATTCTCCTGCAGGGGTATCCACATTGTTTGGACCCCCCAAGATCCTTCATGCGTAATTTCTTAGCATGAGGTTGAGCAATCAAGTTCCGGATGCTCCTGTATCCAGTAAGCAACGGAGTGTAATGGGTTTTGGTTTCCCTTTTTCTCGTTGTTAATCTAACATAGACGATGGGTTTGAGGTCTCTTGTCTGCGACGTTTACGAGGTGGTTGCCACGGACGAGGTTAACGATGCTAAATAGATCATCAGAGTCTATTGACAGCTTCTAGGCAATCATTAATTTGCCGTAGTGTTCACAGTTGCAAACAATTCTTGTTTACTAGTTAGTGAGATATCTTCATCACTTTGGTATGAAAATCGGAACATGGTTCCGTTGAGTCATCATCCTGGCCTAATCCCAGATAGAGATATTCTCCATCCAAGTGATTGAAATTGATAGAGGAGTTGTCCTCATTGTCAGAGTCTTCTGATTTGCGCTGGCAACATGGTTGCGAAGTTTGCAAGTGGTTGCACAGTATCGTCGATCTCGTTTTCTTCGTCATTGTCGACGAGAGGAAGAAAGGGTTTGTCACGCAACTGTTTCTCGAAGTTGCGGGACGCATGCTTTCCTTGAGCCATTCTTCATGGTGAAGGAATAGGTTGAGGGAGCTGAAAGCTAAGTGTTTGTTAACAAAATGCACTACGCTAAAAGCTAGTGTAAAGATCTTTCGAGTGTTTTGAGTTTGAGAGAATGAAAGTTATGAGAGGATTAGAAAGCTATGAAAACTAATCAACGAGAGAGATCACAATCAAGGGATCGTAGATCTGAACTCCCGCGGGAGACTGTAAAGTGTGATAGAGTAGGTTGTGGTAGTAATCCTACTCTTCCACGATCCAAAAACGGAACGCGTGGAAGATTCGTCTAGCATTTATCTAGTAGCGTGGAATCTCTCCACGCCAGCTAAATATCTAGCGCAATGTTTCACCATCGACCTAGTATGACTAGCGGTCATGAGAACCCTGTCTCAATGACTATTCACGAGAGACTCAGTCATGAGTCGAACTCAAACCCTATCTAGGATCGAGTCGCGAAAAAGGCTAAGAGCCGTGTATTGCAAATGGAAGGAACGACAATACAGGTTTGCCAACAACAACAATGTGTCCGACCGCATCGTCACTGACGCACAACAAGAAATGTTCCGAGTTTAAGGAGATGATTGAGTTTGCCATCAAGAATGCTGAGGCCATCAAGAGCTTTGGACCCGGGCTGGGACTCGTGGGCCACTTTGTGGAAATGATGGCCGCTGCCCATTGTTACGTGCATGAGATGGATGTTGACATGCAGCGATTGCTTTTGAAGAGGAAGTGGTTTCTTACATTGTGCCATGATGTGTGGGAGTCTAAGAACAAGGAGGTTTTAGGAGTTTCCCTTGGATTCTACAGCATTGGAAGGAAGAGACACTTCTTGATTCCCATTGCTCTGCATGTGATAGATGACAAGTGTGCTGAGCCGACTGCTGATTTGGTGGAGAACATCCTTGCTGCCACTGGGATTGACAAAGAGCAGATCCACAAGGCTTGTAACGACACATGCTACACTGCGCTCAAGGTTGGTAGGCTCCTCGCAGGAGAGAATAGGGTGTGCACCATGCACCAGATACAGTTGTACATGGATCATGTCATGTGACAAACAAAACATGTCGCAAGCAACCGCAACTCACACGCCATTGGTGCTACTTATCCCTAGTCCTGCACTTGCCAATCTGTCGTAATGTGTCTCATCACCAAGCCTATTCTGATTCACTAGTGTGCGCATGACGCCTTCCGTCGCTGGGAGTGGGTCTCCATATCGATAGAAATTCTGGAAGGCCGTAAATGTACTCATCGCCTCAGCATGTTCTTGTTCGAGCTCCATCCGCTCTTCTGCCGATGCGTCCATACACTCTACAGTGCCCTGGTCCCAAGCGGCAGCACTTCTCTTTCTTGCATTCCCACTGCCAGATTGTGCATCGTTTGATTTGGGATCAGCCTTGTCGTCTTGGCCATCGTTTAGACCACGCTTCTTAACGGCACCGATAATCTCATCTTCGTATGATTCGCCAATAACAAAGCCCCCGGCCTCGAACTGCGTTGAGTTCAAGTCTTCTGTCCTTTGCGACATCATATGGAGCCATGCCAGAATACATACCATACCACCAGGTTTCACCTCTCGATGTGAAAGGTAGGCCTTTCCTTCTGAAGAGAAATGTACCGGGATGTGCATGCAGAAACAATCACAGAGGGCCGACAAAATCGCATGGTTTTTAAAGAGCCTTTGCGTTGGGTCGGCTTTTACGGATCTAGCCAGTGACTCGCCAATCAGCTGCGACTTTGTTGGCACCACAGAATTCTTGAGTTTGTCCATTGCAGCCTTCATTTGGATGTTGTATAGGCACCCAACGAGTTGTCTTTTCTTGGACTCCGTTGCCGGGACATTAGTCACCATCAAATCACTCCTGATCACAAGTGTTGTCTCTCTGCCTGTTCCGTCTGCGTTTTCTCTCTCCCCCTGCTTCCTGAGATACTCATTGCATATCTCTACGACGACCCTCATATTTGCCGCTGGTGTGTCTACGTTGACCACCCGCAATGAATTGTCATCATGGAGAGACTCTACGAGCTCAGCCAGAAAATGTTGAAATAATGCCTGTGCGTGAGTCTCGTTCGTCCTGGCTGAGCCAAGTCTACTCAAAACATGCTGAACCAGCCACTTGCAGCCGTTTCGCATGAATTGGCAGCTTCGATTCCCAACCTGTTGGCAACTTGAGAGATTTGACAAATGCAGAGTGGATTTCCATGGGATATCCCTTAACAAAGGACGGATCTTCAGCACTTGCCAAAGGGTTGTTCATAAAACCAAACCTGACACATTCGACATTGGTCGTTCCATTTTGAAACATCATGAACCGGCCCCCGTCCCCATCGATATTACTGGTTGCGGTCCTATTGCTGTAGAGTGCGGTGGTCTGTTGGAGGGTCTCGTATGACTGGTCATTGTTCTGTGCGTACTGCCATTGATCTCTCTTATCGTCTAGAATAATAGTCGGCGATGGGTGGGCAAGGAAAGCTGTCATTAGTCCGTCAATCTGTTCCGGTCTGTGACCAGGGGTCTTTGGGAGCTCCGTTAGCATATTCGAAGCATCTTTTGAAAGAAGCAATTTGTCCATTTCGGAGAGTTCTTTGTCCTTTTTGGAATGTTCTCTGTCCTTTTCGAACGTTCTTGGTAATTTTCGACCGCCCAGCCGACCACAGTGTTGACTATTTCTGGATTTTTATCCTTCAATACATGCTGGATGGCGGCGAAAGTCTTTTTTGTTGCAACGGCCGGTGCCAGCACTTCGATTGGCACCATTTGCTTCGGTGGTAATGCCGATTCCAGCAGTTCCTTTATTCGACCATAGAGGCCAGCCACATCACTGCCATACAGGTACTCTGATGACTCGTTGGTGTTGCTACCATCATTTTGTGCCCGAGACGAAGCATCCGCACCGAACACAGCAGATTCTGTGGTGAATGACAACCCAACCAAACTGGGAAAAAGATGTCCGAATCGAACAGCCTTTTCTTTTCTTCATCCTTCAGAGACATCGTTTTGTTGTGCTCAGGCTACCGTACCGTACGTTGCCAACGTTGCTTTCTTCAATGGTTACAAGGTACCCATGGTGCTCGGTTACCGTGATGAACGTGAATTGCAACGATTGATTGAATACTGTAGGTGCAGCAATAAATAATAAATAAACTATAAAGGGGATTACATGAAAGTAACGTCACTAGGTAACGCGTGATTGTAGAAAGTGTGCAAAGGATCCAGTGGTTCTGGACGTGATGTAGGCATATACGGGCCGGCGAGTACTGAGGATGGGGAGGAGCCAGAGGAATATAAGGAGCAAGATTGGCGTGTAATGGCGCGTTGGAAGTGTTGGGAAGGAGTCGAGTCAGTTGTTCGGTTTCGTGCAGTCTAATATCTAACATCAGAAATGAGCCAACCTGCGAGGTTTTTTTCACTTTGGCCAGATCATCTAGTCTACCTTGGTTATTTTATCCTTCTTGGCTGTGTCCTCCTGATTGGGGTGACAGTTGGTTCCATCTGTGGTACTGGAAAATGCACCGTCAGCAATGGAGATATGGAGACTCAGGCTCCCACTACTTCCATTCGGTTCTCTGTTCCCACAGAAATCGAAGACTACATAGTTGAGAGTTTTGGGCATGATTATTTTCCCACAACCAATGGAGATGTGGAGCTAGAGCCTGGGCATCCACGCAACCAGGCTCTCAAGTAGATTGTGTTTGAGGATCCCTTGCAGCTAACCCCGGACGCTGATCATCTTCTCCAGAGATTCATCATGGCATTGACCTACTTTCAGACTTCTCAAAACACTGATTGGTGGATATGCAAACCATCTATGAAAACTGAAATTTGTTGGATAGATTTGCGGGATCATGAACAACAGGCCGCCAGTCATTGGCTAACTCGAGTTCATGAATGTGAGTGGGCAGGGGTATACTGTGAAGGCGACACTATGAATATGACTGCCTTGGAGCTTGGTGAGTTCATGTTGTGTGTCGTTTTGGTACCCACTTCCTTCTGTCCGTGTTCTGAACATTGTTGCTTGGAAAAGAGAACGTTGGATTGAATGGCCTTTGCCCATGGAACTAGCAAGTCTTCCAGAATTGAAAAGATTACACCTGTCAGGGAACCTTCTGCATGGAACCATTCCCATTTCATACAGCAGCTTTCCTTCCCTTACATCAGTTCGCCTCGAACACAACAACATATCAGGCAAGATTCCTACAGAATGGTTTGGAACCAGGCTCGAAGGAGCATTCTTCACAAACAATTCTCTAATCGGAACAATACCAACAGAGGTTGGACTCTTTGATACAAAGTTTTTTCACTTTGGGTCAAACAGCCTATCAGGTTCCATCCCTACAGAATTGTTTGGACCAAGGGAAGGAAACACTGTTTGTTTAGCTTTTGATGACAACTTGGTATGGAATCATCTGAGCTATTCTTGAATTTTCAACGTCCAGAGCCACAGTTGTGAGCATTATGTACTCATATCTGCCTTCACTCTTCTTGTAGCGTATACCGGGACTCTCCCCGCTGAGATTGGTAGATTTCATGGGAGCAATGCTGTTATCATTTACTCTTCGGAGGAAATTCGTCAAGCGGGAACATCCCATCAGAGATTTCACTCTTGGGGGGTTCGCTGCGAGATCTTTTGCTCAGTGGAACTGCCCTAAATGACATGCTACCAGAGGAACGCTTTGCCACTTGCACATAGATCTATGGCTTTGATGTTTCAAGCTCTGATTTGACGGGCACGATCAGCACCAGTTGGAGCAAATGACAAGACTACGATACTTTGACATCTCCAACAACAGGTTTCATGGTACGATTCCTCAACAGCTTTCCGCCCTGACTGAGTTGAGGAAAGTCCATGTGAATGGCAACAATCTCTCTGGTTCCATTCCACCCTCTGTTTGTGCTCTGGCGGACCCGAAAAAGACATTTTTGAAGTGGCAGCTGCTTGTTTGCCCACTGATGAATTACACGATCCTTTGGTAGAGTGCTCTTGTTGCACTGTATGCTGTGATGGAGAATCCAGGGATTATTGTCTCACACAGTAGCAACCACTTGCCTTACCGCAACAGCTAGAAAGCTTTTTGCCCGGGTATGTGTTTCTACTTGCTACTGTAGCATGAACATAAGACCAAAGCCACCTACATCTGTTTCTCCATACCCATTATATTACGAACGTTGCACTGTCCATAGAACGCCGTTCACAAAGGCTGCTTTCACAAATTTAGTGCTAGGTCTACTAGCTAGCGTGTGCCGGCTGCTTTCTTGCATCGCTACATGTATCTATCTGCCCTCTGCTGCCCTGCGAGGTGGATCCACAAACCAAGCGTAGTATCCAGCCACACAGACCACACTGGCAATGGCGAGAAACTTGGCATCAGGTGGCTCCGTTCCTCCCTTTGGTGGGGCCATTCGGTAGAGCAGGCCTTTCTTCTTTGTTGGAGGCGGTGGTTGCTGGTCAGCAGCAACAGCAGTGTCGTTCTTGGAAGACTTGGATGACAAATACCGATTAAATTTTGTTCCTCTTGAATAGAGCCGTCGCCCTTGCGAGCAGAGTGCTTGTCGCGAAAACATTCTTGCTTGGAAGAAGTACCACTGGTAGCTAGGAATAATCTGATGAATCTATTGTATGTGCTATGCGTGATAGATAAAAGATACCGTACCGACACATGCAATACGGTATGACATGAAAGCCGTCAACTCCACTGAATGCTTGTCATCGCGAGGGGTGTCTGTTGGTGGAAAAGATGTATTGGCGTAACAGGCTGACGTACAGACGCCAAACCTCATTTTTTGTGCAGTCTGAGAACAGAGCAATGCAGAAATCACCCTCGGGTTCAAACGGTATCTGTAAACAGCTCCTGGCACTAGCTACCTGGACCGTAGTTGTAACCTTGTCTGGAAAAGAAAGAAGATATGCTTTTGCCTACAGGTGCATATAGAAAAGCAGCTTGTCTACAACGTGACATAACCCGGTATCATAGTCTATTTATTTGCTAGCACAAGTGCTGTTTGAAACTGCAACGGTTCCAAATACAATACAATTCGGTTCTCCGTCTAGCTGAGCTATTTATTTGGGCATGTTGTAATGAAACTCCTGCATCAGTTTGGGATCCAAATAATAGGCCGCATATTGCAGATCCAACGGTGTGAATCCTTGCAATCGCAAAAGGGGATTCCCATAGTGTATCATGGATTCCAAATATCCATTGCGAGCGGTTTTTTTGTCCTTTTCCTTTTCGTGAGGAAAACTGTGACTTTCCTTGGTGGATTGGGCCCGTATCCGCACCGTTTCGTCCACGAGCCGTCCGCCGGCACATTCGCACACTTGTTGGATCATGGCTTGGGGATGAAACATCAAGTCTTCGAGGCGCAAAAAAATGCGATTGGTAGCCAGCACAGCATTTTGTTCTTGTTGATTGTAGTAGTATTCTCGATGCCAGTCATTGTAAAAGTGCACCATGGAGAGATGATATCGTTTCCGCTCGCTATAAATGATTTGCACGGGGAAAAAGTGCAGTTGCAGTTCGTCGATTGTCAATGGCAGAATGTCACCCGTTTGATTCTTCTTATGATTCCACGCGTGCACTACGGCCGGAAGTGGATTGTTTTTCAACAGTGGGTACGTTCCTTCATTGGGCGTCCCGGGTGGAAATTCCAAATCTCCTGTTGGGAGTTGATCTGTGACGGGTCCAAAATTCTTGTCTCGAAACTGCTCCAGTTCGTATTGGGTCGGCCACAGGGCTGGACAATGATTGTCGGGACTATCGATGGGCAAAAATTTGGGCCAATGGGCCGTGTAAAAGTTGTGACAGAGGGATTTCATCCAGAGAAAGGGATCTCGAATCATGACAATGGGTAAAATCATGTGACTCTTGTCATTGCCACGTTCAACGAACCATCCTTCTTGTTGTGGAGGAGGCGCGTGTTTTCCTTGTGGCATTTGCCACATAATGCCTTCGCCAGCTTTTGGTAGATTATTGTTGGTCTCGTGTTGCGGAATGGCACAATTGTGCAGCAATGTATCCGCCAACAAATTGGTTCCGGAATTGAACATGCCCGCCACGGCGAGTGCTTTGCCCCATCCTGCTGTGGCCGCGGCCGTTTGAAAAGCTCGACACGTTTCTGGCGTTGCTCCTTGGAGCCGTGGTTGGTCCCCGTACATGGATGCCACTTGCGCCCAAGTGGGCAACAAATTGTAGTGTTCGTAACTCAGGGTCGTCAGACCGGCATGATTGCGCAGCAACAAGAGCAATTTTTCCTTGTCGTGGCCGTTGTGTTGTGATAGATCCAAAAAATGTTGAATGGGTTGGTCTTCTTGTTCTTGTAAATCCTCTTGTTTTGGTTGTGGGGATGCCTGTTGTTTGATGTCAATGGGTGGCTTGGGCTGGGTATCCGGTGTCGAGGAAGGTTTGGATTGTTCAGCTGATGATACAGTAATCTTTTGTTGTTGTGTCACATTTTTGACGGCGTTGATCTCTCTACTGCTATTACTAATAATGGTGGAGTTGGACCAGACTTTCCAAAAATCATAATCGGAAACCAAGACAAGACCAACTCCACAGATCAAACAAAGCGGCACGCTCAGGACAACCGAACGTTTCCTATGGATAATCTTCTGACAAGTAGTACCCTCCACTGCAGGCGCTGCCGATGGTGTCCCTCCCTTGCGTCGGGGGCCTTTCACCATCTCGATGATTGATGGAAAAACCACAACTCAAAGAAAGTTTGAATGATTCGATCGAGAGATGAAAGAAGAGATGAAGATGACTGCTGTGACTGTCAATGACCTGTCTGTGTGACTGTCAGTTCCGAAGGCGGTTCAGGATTCAGGATACCGGTAGCGTTGATGACGTGGCAAAACAAAGAACAAAGAAATGAAGTCAAGATCATTGTGCAAACCACCCACAACACAACGCTCTCTTTCACTTCTTCTTCATCACCCCTGACCTCCGAGAACTATACTAAATCCGATAGACAATGAGATCAATAATGTCAACCAGGACCTTTGTTGTTTCCGCCTTGGTGGGAACCTGTTCCCTTTTCACAAACGCCTTTGTGTTTCCTCGAGCCATGCCGCAAAAGACGACTACCAACCTGGACATGTGCATCTGCATCGACTGTGCCCGAGTGACCAACTGTCAAGCATACCATTTTGTAGAATCCAAGCACAATCAGCCACATATAAGCAAAAGTCCAGTGAGTTTCTAGTTAGCTAGCTTATCGCAATTTGGAAGCATTTGAGTCCATGTTCTGTTTTTTACTCTCTTTCATGCTCACTCTCAACTCATTCCCGCCGCTGATTGTATCCTTGGTTTCCCCTTTTTTATTGTTTTTCGGATACGACTGTACAGACATTCATGCCCCAACAAGGATCCCCCACAATACACGTCAATGTGAGAACCATTCGTACACAAGAAGATCGTCAAAAAGAAATGGAACGCATGTGGAGCGAACACGAGACCGAGACCGCCAATGCCATGGCCAAGGCAGAACAACAGCAAGACAATGACAATAGTGAACCACTCGTGGGAGAAACCAAATATGATCTCAGCCCCACCACAACCACCGAATACGATGTCGTCAAATGCGCCGATTATCAACACGACCAGGATTGTTGGATCCGAAACATGCCACAGGAAATCAAAGATGCCAATCCACAATTTGTGCCGAGTTAGCTAAGTTAGTTAGAATAAGAATGAATGCGTTGTATGGGAGATGCAACGAGCCATGCCATGTTCGTAGGCATTCTCAATCTCCACGCAGAATGGCCGTTCTGGGACAATGTCATGGAAGATAGCTGGCTAGCGATAGCCGTCTTTTCCCCTCTCTCCGTGCTAAAATCTTTACGTTAGTTGTTGCTGCTGTTCAAGTGAGGAGAAGTACACGCGTCTTTCCTCTTCAGGCTGTGGCATCGGACTGGCAAGGGCGCTGACCCGCAACAGGTTCAACTCTCTTGGTTTTCAATTTGCCGTGTCATTCTCGTTGGGATCTGACTCTGCTTCTTCTTCTTCGGCTGCAACAACATCCTCCTCCTCTGCCGCCTCTGCTGCTACTAACAATTGCGGATACAACTGCAACGTCCGTTCGGAGCAGGCACGAGCCACATCGACAATGGACACGGTCTTTTTGTAGTGTGCCACAGCCCGTGCCACAAAGGGCCACAATCCCGCATGATAAAAAGCATCTCGCCCTAGCAAATTGGCAATTTCGGCAGGAATGACATGCGACGTCATCAAGACGAGTTTGTCGAGTGGCAAGTCAAAGGCACATTCGTGCAAATGGCCTGCCTTGGCAAAACTGACGGATCCATCGAGACCAATCGTCAAATGAGGGCATGCTTGGAGAAACGATAGCATATGAGACGCCAGACCGGACCAATTGGCCAACACAATTTGTAACGTGGGAAACTCGGTGGTGGCGTCAGTCAGAATGGTCTGCAAATCCAACAAGACGTGGGCATAGTCCGTGCCGGCAATTTGGTCCAAATCCAATCCAGCAGCTCCCGGCAAGGCTTGAATCTGTACCGTCACTCCGGCTTGTCCGGCAGCTTTGCAAGTGGCAATGACCCGTCGTTTTTGGGATTCCTTGTCACAGCCGGGTCGTTGACAAATAGTATAATCGAGAATGGCCCAATAACCCACAATCTTGTCGGGATGATCGTGGAGTGTTTGTGTTAACGAATTCACGGCGGCATCCATTTCCGAGTCATTGTAGAGAAAATCGCGCGCCAAACCAATCATGTACCACGTGTGCGCTGGCAATGGAATATCGTTGTTGTTAGGACAAATCCACGGTCGATTGGGTTTGAGCAGTGTTTGGGAAATCATACCTCCCAAATTGGTGTGACGTTGGGCATCGATCAGCGCTGTTTGAACCTCTTGAAAGGCTTCTTTTTGCGAAATTTTGGTTTTTCCTCGACCCTGTTTGCAGTAGTCCATGGTCGATGCAATGTCACACGCCACATCATAGTACCGAAAATCGCAGGCATTCAGTTCGGGTGGATACTCCAACAGACTACTACTACTACTGTCTTGTTGTGGAGTACCATATTTTCTCGCCTGATACAATTCCTTTTCGTGATTGACATTGCTCTTCTTTTTGAACCGCGACATGCCACGACCATCGTCTCGCACTCCCGGACATTCTCGTCGCACATGACCGACGTCGCCACAGATATGGCACTTCATGCGCGCACGTCTCTTTTCGGCGGCTGCCTTTCGTTGCAATTCGCGACGCGCTGCAAAATCCAAGTCTTTCAGGTTAGTACCAGCATTGCTTTTAGGAGGAGACTGTGCTTGGACATCTTCCTTATCGTTGTCGTCGTCGTCGTTCTTGGGACGATGGCGGCGGTTCTTTTTGCCCATGGTGGATGAGAATGAGAAAGTGTTACAGTTGTTGTTTTTGTAGAGAAGGAAGGCAACCAATGTGGAGACTTGTTATTATGATCACCTCGAGGCAAGCAAGGTCCTCCAACAGCATGATATGGAGTGTCAACACCCGCAATTGCGAAGATACGAAGATACTCTTCGATCTACTTTCACAGAGATTGGGGAAATATGTTGATGAGAACATATTACCTTTTCTCCCTATTTGTTGGCGTGGTTTCCGAAATCGCAGTGTGGTCATCATGCCGGCAGCCATCCTGCGATGGTGCCCATTCATTATTTCCGATACTACGTGTAGTACCCCCGGCGTTACATACAACTTACATGCCATAGAGACGACACAAAACAAACAAACACAATATGTTTGCCTCCATGTCCAAAAACAAGGATGAAAATAATAATGGCAGTGACAAGGGCAAGAAGCGTTTCAACATGATTTCTATTCCTCAGAAGTTTGAATGGACGGGGATATCATCCATCATTTCACAAGACAACAATAAACACCACCATAACAATAAACCTACTGATGCTGATACGGATACTGATGATATTTTGACCATTATGGAGGGACTAATCCTCTGGAATGTCCTTGGGTTTGCATTGGCGGATACCAAGGATTATGTTTGCTTTTCGGCCGTCAACAAGGAATGGAATCAAGTGGTACGAACGCTGGTGCCACCCGTCATGTACCAGATCAAGGCCGTGTTGGACCACAATAATAACAATAAGAGCCGCGATGAGCTAATACTTCAAGTCAAGGATTTGGAACTATTGACTGCCGTTCTGGAAATGGTACCCGACAAGGACTCGGCCATTTATCGACAGGACAATCGACGACAACACTTGGAGTGGCCTCATTTGCAACCCCCATTTGCCATGATTGTCATGCGATTTGTGTTTGCCGCATCGACCAAACGAAATAAGTTTTCCTCCAATATGTATGAAATGGTCTGCTGTTTTCTGGAAAAAATATCCATCCAGACAGCACACCAAATGATCAAGACATTTTACAACAACAACAGCAACACGGCAAATATTTTGGAGAATCTCGTCCAATTGTGGGTGACGTGGGAGGGGATGGTCGGCATTGTGGAGGCTATTGCCGGTCATCTCAGTCGATATTATGCCGCGCAAAACAGCCTATTGTCATTGACCCAACATGCCCGCCACTGCTTTGTCGCAGTCCTCTTGTCGGGTCCCGAATTCCCCTATGGGCTGGCGGAACTGTTGGGGCACATGCAGGGAACAAAAGTACTCAACAATATGCCAAGGGATCTGGTGCTGCGAGCCTATCATGCCAGTATCGCCATTGCATCGTTTCCTACAGAATTACAACAACACTGGGACCAAGTGGGGGGCTTTGGGGTAATCCTACAGGCTTACAACCAAATAAAAGCCCAAGTGGAAGAAAGCATTCTTCCATCAGAAGAAGAAGAAGAAGAAGAAGAAGAAGAGCAAATAGCGCAGGTTGTTGGGCAGCCACAACACCAAGAAGAAGAAGAGAAAGCTAATTTCCATCTCACACTCATGTTCCCCAATGGAACCAAGCTGAATGCTCTACATCATTTTGTAGAGTCCAGTATACTCTTGAAGAATATGCACTTTGCAAATGGGGATGCTATTCGATGGCATGGAGATGAGGATATTCCACATTTTGTTAAGGCATTGGTGTTTTATGCCCTGGATGAAAAGACTCCGATGCCTCCCACTTTTCCAGCACCACTTCCACATGGTGTACACCTCACATCTATCCTGGGGGCGGAGAATGCACAGTTTGCAAGGTTGGTGGAACCGCACTCCGCCCAGGAGCTGTTGGTTCTCATTCATTTTTGCAGCTTTTTGAACTTGGAAAAGCTAGCGACATTGTGTGGCATGGCGATTGCCTTGAAGATTAGGGAAATGAATCCAGCGGAACTTCGGACAATAAATCTGACGAGAATAAATGAATGATCTGTATTATAGACCTCTTTTGAGGTTGGGCCAGCTAGATTAGAAAATCCAATGCACCTTCTCTGACTCTATAGCTCGCTAGCTAGGTTTGTCACTATTTACTCTTGGTTGGTTTGTTCTTCTGTTGTTATGGGATAGCTACTAGTAGTTCATCAATCTTGTTCTGAAGCAACCTTACTTCCGCATGATCCACACCTGGAAGCGATTCTTGGATGTGCAAGGCCTGCCGAAAGTGGTGCAAGGCAGCTTCTCTGTCCCCCATCTTTTCCAGTGTTGCGGCCACATCAATAATTGTTTCCGCATGGTACGCCGGTTTGAGCTCCACACGGATGGCTATCTCCGCAGCAATCTTGAAAAAGTCAAGTGCGCCCCTATAATCCCCACGTTTCTCTAGCAATTTCCCCAAGCTCGTGTAAGACTTGGCCGTGTCCGGATGGTCCCTCCCACGCACCAATTCTCGTATTGCGAGCGCCTTTTGGTGCTCTTGCCAAGATTCCTCGTAATCGCCTCGGTCTCGAAGAAGCATTCCAATACTGTGATGCGAACAAGCAATATCCGGATGGTTGTCGTTTCCCAGTGCTTGTTGTCGTATGGATAACCCCTTTCGATAGGCAACGAGAGCCCCGTCAAAGTCCCCTTGATCCTGCAGAATCTTTCCAATATTGTTGTGTGAAGCGGCTACATCCGAATGCTGATACCCGAGCACCGCCTCACGAATCGAAAGGGCTGTTTGATGTTCTTCCAATGCACCTTCATAGTCGCCCTCTTCACGCAAGAGTCTTCCAATGTTGTGGTGCATCCACGCAACATCGGCATTGCGATGCCCGGATTGAGATGCCGCGGTTGCTTTTCGAAGTTCCACCAGTGCTGCCTTGTTCGCCCCCGTCCTCATTAAGCACCACGCAATTCTGTTGCGTGCGGCTGCCACGTCAGGATGGGAATCACCCAATACGTCTTGACGAATGGCCAGTACGTATTGAAACTCGTCCATGGCGGGTCCGTGTTCACCATTCTCGAGCATGAGGACACCTAATTTGTCGTGTTGGTTGGCGTGATGCAATCCATCTACATTGCTGCTGTCACTAGTAGTACATGAGTACAACTCTCTCCGAGACTGTGACAAGCGGCAAACGGTGTGACGGATCCAGCTGCGAAGAAGCTCATTGACTTTTTGATTCATGACCTTGAACCCACATTGTTTCGCCACCAGTTCCAAAATGACAACTCGATCCCGTTCTATGGATGCTAGAGCGTTTTCAATTTGCGTTTGCCCCAATGCTTTGTAGAGTGATTGAAGCCCCTCCTGGTGATTGTCGTTATCATTTCCCAAGAGATCCTGCTGGAGTGCTTGTTTCTCGGATGGCGGCATGACCACGGTGGTTTGGCAATCCTTGACATGAGCTGTGTAGAGTTCGTACACCGACCATATTCGTTGTAGATAGCGAGGATTGTTCCATGGGGACATCATCGCGAGGACATGGCCAATTGAAACCACACGCAGTCCAAACTCGGCAAAAAAGTCCACTTGGGGCTCGAGCATTCCCGACCGTTCTGATTTCTTTTGCTGCCACACACGGTGTTGATTGACACATAGGAAGCAAATCCAAACAAACGTCTGAGTGGGATCTCGATTTGTAGTATAGCAAAAGTCGACCAAAGTATCAATGATATCCCCAATTCTGTACCCTGGACAAATGAAATGAAGGAAGGAACAAATTGGAAGAAGGAGCATGAATATGTGAGTCTGTCTGTTCAGAACAACTTTGGTTCCTCCACTCTGCAAGCTCTCACCCCAAGTATAGCTCAACATCACGTTAGCTTGTCCCACACTGATGCCATCATCATCGACTCCATGGACATATGCCGCTCCCATTCGCCCATCAATCGGACAGCAAACATGGTCGGCTTTTCGTCGAATCACTCCAGGAGCTTCCTCGTCCAAATTCTCAATGTCATAGACAGTAGAGTCTCGGCTCAACCCTGGAGTGGCCAACACTTCTTGCAAGAATGTACTGCGAAGATAGTGAACACTGACAGCCAATGTGGAACGTTCCATATTCCATGGCCGGCCTAACTATAGGGCATCAGCAAAAGATTGACTTCCATAAGCCAAAGCTGTCCGGGACGCCAAATTTAAGTAGATTTTTTCTTTTTTTTAAAGTAAAATTGTCAATCAATCTTTTCAGTCCGAATTCCGAATGGAATTCATTCCACTCACGTTTGACTTTACCGGGCCTGCGCTGCACTTGATAGAGGTACCGATACGTGACCAGTCCGTGACTGAACAAATGAGGTGCCAACTATGTCATAACTTGAGAAGGTCGTCCAGAGAAAAGGTTGCTCCTTACTTTTCTCTCGCAAAATACCAAGCTTGCCAGCATTGACCGCTGCATGCACTTCGTAGATCAATGTTGCCTTACATGTACTGAGCAGCCAGCAGCCAGCCCACCTAACTGAGTTCAATCAGCAATTTAAAAGTTGACCATGGCGTCCAGAAGACGGAAAGCTGCTAAAGGGAACGCGCAGGAAATGTGTGGGTGTCGCCAGGACATGTATCGGCTCATTACCACCGCTTTGGTCTTGATTGGGTGTACTCTCAGCTTTTTGACTTGGAAACCCCTGATAACTACATGTATACCGAACACAAGTACTACCATTACCACCGGTATTTCAAGTACTAGTACTGGTACTACCAGAAATTCGCTTTGTATGGAAGTAGGAGATTCCAATCACCGCACACGACCCCTCCCCACCGATACCGACCGCTGTCTCTTGTTCGAGCCCCCGCCTCCATCATTACAGCTATTAATGAATGTCTTGCGAGGACTTCCCAACGCGGGACGCTGCGATTACGGCAATCCCAACTGCGCCCCTCCGTATCTACCTTATGACAAGAAGCTGCGTCATTTTGGAGATGATTGGCCACCCCACGGATTCACCATGACGGGCCAAGAACGACTGCACAATTTCTATGCCGCCATTTCCGAAGTCAACCGCAACCAAATTGAGGGAGCCATTGCCGAATTTGGAGTCTGGCGAGGAGGTGCCATGATGTTGGCAATGGCCATGACTGATACTGATACCGGTAGTTTGATTGAACAACAACAAAGATATCGTGGCATTCCCCGAGACCTGTACCTCTTTGATGCGTTTGGTTCCTTTGGAGGCTACGGGAGAAACGACAACTTTCTCGGTGTATCTCTAGAAGACGTAAAAAACAATTTCCGAATGCTCAACCTCAATCCCGACCAACCAAGAGTCCATTTTGTCAAGGGTATGTTTAAAGATACCACTGGCGCTTGGATCCATCGTGCCGATCCCATTGCCGTACTCCGAGTGGATGGCAACTTTTACAGTTCCTACCAAGATGTCATGTACGCCGTCTATGAGAACGTTCCCGTTGGGGGGATTGTCATTTTTGACGATATCTATCATCCCAAACACAAATCAGTGATGCAATTCTGGAACCATTTCAAAGCCGATCATGGCTTGGTCGAAGAATTGGTCCGCATCGATACGGGCTCTGCCTGGTTTCGCAAACAAAAGCAGGTTACTGTGGATCAAACAAAGAGACGAGCCGTACCTACTAACGAGGTGTTAGAGTAGTAACTAGATAACTTTAGCTAGCTCCTCATTTTTTCAACTGCTAGCTAGATTACCACCACAGCTGATGAAGCTGCTGACAATACTCCATCAACTTGACCACTTTAGGGATGCTAACAATACCCCGAGATAAGGAATACTACATGATGTAGTACTTCTCTTCTAAAGTTCAGGCGTTCTGGTCACAGTTGTGATGTTGTGATAGTACGTAAAAGAAGCCAGTTTTACTGTCAATCGATGCGGTGGCTTAGTTGACTTCAGCACTGTCAGCACATGCCACCAAGCAACAAGCACCGGCACTCCCGCGCTGATCATTCTGATTGTTCCCCATTCACCAGCAAGTCTCGTACTAGTATACATACCATGTCCTCTACCACTGCTACCGCATGGACAAGAAGACGAGAACGAAGCACTCGCAAGCGCAAAAAGACGTCCAAATGCCGAAGTAGTCTCCAGCTGGACTTGGAGCATGCCATTCAAATGCCACGAGGCGTCCATCGCACCATGGATTTGGTGCGAGCCGCGCATCCGCACGACATTCCGGCCTTGAATGACTACAGTCCTTTGACAGATGTCATCTTGCTCACGGGCTCGACGTATACGCGACGCCGTGGCAATCGGATTCCTGCCGACTTGATGCCGACTATCAAGAGTCTCATCCAACTCTGTCACGACCGTGGCATTTCCATGGATGGAGGACGCAAACTGGGCGATTCCATTATGCAACGACCGTTGGTGTTGGCCGCGTATTATGGATTTCGAGATTTGGTGGAGGCACTGTTGGATCTGGGGTCTACTACCGTCGACAAGGCCGATGGAGAAGACAGAACGGCATGGCACGCTGCCCTTGCAAATCCTGCCGGTCAAAATCATATCTTGCGAGACTGTGACAAGGAAATTGCACAACTGCTCGTGCAGCGGGGTTTCGTGACGGCCAGTCTCAAGGATTGGAAACAACAACACGCAAAAGGATCTCTCATGTACATGAATGGGGACGCCATACACGGATCGGCCCTCTTGACGGCCATTCGCCACAAAAATCATGCGGCTGTACAATTCTTGGTACACCATGGGGCCGTATTGACAGATCGAGATTACTTGGCGTTGACGCGCAAGCGAGGTGGTACGGCGCAATTGGAAGCTGCCGTCTCCAGACTTGTTCTGGACAATAATCAACACGCATCATCATCTCTTCAACAACAACACGTAGTCATTATGAAATGCTGGTCCATTCACACGGATTGGTCCTTTCCACCAACGTGGAAAGTGGCCATTCAACTCTCCAGCTACTGTGGATTGCCTCGAGAAATCTTTGAGGATCATGTGCGGCCCTACTTGGCGAGAGACTGGTTCTATTGCAAAGAACAACGAAATGGTCCTTTGCCGGCGCCGTTGCGAGCGTCGTTGGAATGATACAGTATCATCCAACCAACTACCTGTTAGACGGTAGGGGCAGGGCACCTCCTCCAAAACAATCTACAATATTACTGTCATCAACAATTTACAATGGAGAGTTACTGCCTCTCTCGTATGGACCCTGTGTTGGTTGCATCGGTACAAGGAAAGAATGGGCAGTGAAGTTATCCAATGTTGATCGTTGATTGACGTCAATTAATATTTGCTGGCTTCTACGAAAAGTGGTTGGGAACAAAGTCTGCACGCATGTGCTTTCCTCAGTGATTGCAGAGCAGTATGTTATGGAACCATGCAGAAAGGTCTATACTTGGAAAGCACGCTTGAAGAGAATGAGATAGGAAAGTGAGTCATCTGGCTAGGACCAGTGTTGAACTGACAGGGTCACAACGTTGCACCATCCCAAAGTTAGGTAAACAGGGCAAGCTCTTTGACTGGTATGTTGGAGTTGGCCGCACAACAACCATTTCACAATGATTGAGAAATTGCGGCGATCTTGACAACGGATGCTTCCTAAGGTACACTCTCCAAATCACATCCGAACAACATAGAAGTAAGGTGGGGAATCATGCGTTCAGACTCAATACGATTGGGTGATCCCACCGGTCCGGCTGCAAAAGGTAACATGGAGAACCAATCGTATGATTGATTCATTCATTGAAGCAATCGTGACCAAATCACTTACTTGGCATGGTAGTTTTTGGTTCGGCTGTTTCTTTGCCAGCCACAACCCAAGGCAGTTCTGGATGTCTGGATTGCTCATTCTGATTCTTTGCTTAACTATAAGCCACAGCTTTAACAGCTTCCCATAGCATACATGTAGTCTACACGAAGAGCATTCTTGACAAGCTTCACTGAATAAACGTACATTCAATGAACCGGTATAAACATGCCCTCTATGAACAAACATACATTCAATGAACTGGTCACACATCCGTGGTCTTGCAAGCTAGAGTAGCTGCCTCATCTACGCGTGCTGCTACCTGGTAGCTAGCTACCGGTAGCTGCTGCAGCTATGCTGATGGTATGGTGCGGAATGGTGTTGGGGAGATAGCGCTTGGGAACACTGGTAGTCCACGAGAGTTATTATCCGTCACTTGGCTTCCTTTCATCGTCTCGCAAGAGTTAACTTTCATCTATCCGTTACTCAATTGAAGGCATCAAAGCATTTTCCGGCTTAAAGCGAGCTTGGGTGAACAGTGAACAGACATTGATCCCGCGCCATTGAAACATGCTTGAGCCTCCTCATCATTTCTTCCGTTTCAGAACCGCTCGAGCAAAAAGATATTCAGCGAGAGAAGAACACAAACAGCAACACACAAACCGGTGGATACATCCCAAAATTCCAAAAGCAAATAGCGAACATGACGAAGATCTCAAGCTTGCTCTTGTCGGCAGCGGCTCTCATCGCTGCCAGCTCTTTTGTGACGGGCCAAAGCGAAGGAGATATTATTTGTGTGGAGGGGTACATTATGGACAATTTCTGCATCGAAAGAGGTACATTGCTCGATGATTCTACTGCGAGGACCTTGGAAGAGCCTGAGAAGCATACCGTCCACTGTCTTGTCGATGTTGGTGTCTGCACCGATTCCCCTTTTCACGTGCTGGAAGACGGATCCCCCTATGGCGTTGGTTGGCAGGTAGACGACAACTCACAATTGATTTCCCTGGCTCGAAGTGTGGGGACATGCAACTCCTGCGACGGCGATGGCGACCTCAGGGCTGGCTTTCGAGCTGTAGTCCGCGGAGAAGTCACAGATGCTAGCCGGCAACTACTCTCAGTGCAAGAAGTTGGGCTCCCTGGCGAAGACTTGTGTGCCAACATTTGCCCCCTCGATGTTATGCAATGTGGTGATGAATTCTTCAATCGGGATCCCGACAACAACTGCGAGTTCCCACCTTGCGTGTGTCCTTTGGACGTTCAAGAATGTACTGATGGTACCGTTGTTAGCAGGGTACCACCCATGTGTGAATTTGAAGATTGCCCCCCAACAAGTGCACCAACCGCCAGTCCAACCGAGAGTCCAACCAAGAGTCCAACCAGTCCACCCACAGTAGCAGAGACCCCGGAACCGAGTCCTTCCCCCAGCGCATCACCAACAGCCCGACCCTCTCCCTCGCCATCTGTAAACCCCACCTTTACAGGAACTGACGCACCATCCTTTGCACCTTCTCCAGCTCCGTCTGTTGCTGGAACTGATAGCCCCAGTGCATCACCATCCCGGACCCCATCGGCTATGCCATCCATGAGCCCATCCTCGTCACCCAGTGCAGCCCCCAGCGGAAATAGCCCAGTTCCCAGTGCTTCTCCTTCTGCTTCGCCATCTTCGGCCCCATCATCGGCTCCTTCTTTGAGCCCATCTGTTTCTCCCTCGGCCAGCCCATCGCTGGCGCCTTCAATGAATGGTACTGTCGAGGAACCGATCATTAGCTGTTCCGAGTATTCGGAGGCCATGGACGTACCTGGATTGGAAGGGGTTACTCTGGAATACATCGTCAACATGAATCCCATCATTGGTGAACACAACTTGACGGGCAATCTTACCTTCTTGGATGGCGAGCTCCCCTGGTACAATAATGTGACCAATGAAACAATCTTTGGACCTCCCATCATTTCAGTCCGTGTGACTTATGAAGGACAAGCATGGCTAGGATTTGCCGTCAGCCAAGACGGATCCATGGTGGGGTCGTCTGCTGTCATTGGTGTCCCCAATGCAACAACCGGAGAAGGAGAAACGGGGCATTACAACTTGACTTTTGAAAATGGACAAGGATACGACCTCTTTCCCAACCAGACATTGATGGATGCTTTCATCACTCAGGACGAGAATTACACCATCTTGGAATTCACTCGCTACTTGGACGAAGAATTGTATGGCTTGTCAATTGATGGTAGCGGATTCAACTACTTCTTGGTGGCCTACGGAATGGACAACGTTCTGGGCTACCACGGCGCCGGAAGGTCAAGCTTCAACTTGACACTCATGTCCTGTAATCTGTATGAGTTTGACGACATGGACAACATCAATGGAACCACTGTGGATTTGGAAGAAGCGGTTGACGAGAATGGAGCTGCAGTGGTTAACCGGGACGGTGATACCGACATTGATATTGCTCGTGCCGACCCGGGAACACTTCAATCGACGTCAAGTTCTGCCATTGTTAGTACGACATTTGGCCTTTTAGTGGGGCTGGCTCTTGTTGCACTGAACCTCTAGAACTGGAAAGGAAATGAAGAGACCGAACTAAAGTCCGGTAGATTCAATCAAAGGGAATGAAGGAAAAAATAGATGAAACCTACGACTACCCAAACTTTTGCTCTCGAGTCTTTTGTCCTTTTATTGAGATAGGCAATTGCCTGTGTCTCCATCACAACAGACATCGCAGCATGAACACGCAATGATGGGATCCTTGTCGCCAGCAGGTTTTAAGCAATCAGCTGTTAGTTCAAAGCGCTTGAAATAACTAGCCTGAGCACACACAGCAGACGGAAGGGTACTGGAAAGCTTATTCCCATTCATTCGAATCGTTCGTAGTCTTGTCAGTGCTGCAAGCTGATCTGGTATGGTGCCAAGAAACTTGTTTCTGGAAATGTCAAAGGATTCTAGCCTTGTCAAATGCCGCAAACTTGTGCTGATTGTGCCCGTCATATCACAGTTTGACGCATCAAATTCATATAGGTTCCTACACCTTGTGAAGAGCTCCTCTGGTTTGGTGCCAGTAACAGCATTGTTACTGAGTGTGAGCTGAAAAAGTGAGCCCCCCACAAGTCCAATTTCTGATGGCAAACTCCCATGGAGCTGGTTTCCTTGAAAGTCAAATCCTATTCTATATCCTTTTGACAACCCAATCTCTGTTGGAAGGGTTCCGGTAAGCTACCAAAAAAGCTTGAGAATGAGGTGGCAATCATGATGAAGGGATACGGATATGGATTTGGGAACAGACTCCTTACCATATTATTCTCGAAACACAGAAAATTGTGGGTTCCTGTCATTGGATGAAACAGTTCTGTGGGGATTGAACCTGACAGGCTGTTATGACCAAAAAGAAGCTTTTCACCATCAAAAAGCCCAACCTCTGTGGGTACTGTTCCTGTCAGTGAATTGTTTCTGAAGTCTATTACCGAAAGCTTGCTTCCAAATAGTTCTGAAGGGATCTTTCCAGAAAGCTTGTTCTGTTGAAGCACAATGTCACTCAAGGCAGAAAAGCTACCATAGCTCGTGGGGATGGTTCCAGTGAGGAGATTCTTTGACAAATCCAGTTTCTCCAGGATTGAAAGCTTTGCAAGTTCAACAGGCACTGGGCCGTTCAACCCATTTTCCGCTGAATGAACAGAAAAGCACAATGTGAGTAAGCTGTCTTGTTGCATGGCTGAGCTTCACCAAGCGCACTCACGCAGAACCAAGTCAATGATATTCTTCTCTCCGTCACAGAAACTACCTGCCCATTGACATTCATGACTGTGTGACAGCCACCGGCTTGTCAAAGACTCTACACCAGCTATTGTCATCCAACACGTGTCGTCTGTCTGCTTTCTTTGTGGCCCACACAGCACCCAGTCATGCTCTTGTGATGTCTGAAAGTGCATTAATGCCATGATGAATCTCTGGAGAAGATTATCAGCGTCTGGGTCAAGCTGCATAGGATCATCAAACACAATCCAATGGAGTGCTCTGGTCCTTGTGAGTGAGGGGCCCAGCTTTTGAATGTCATCGTTGGAGGATGTTTGGAAATATGATGGGCCAAAAGCCTGTTCAATCTTGCCTTGGAAGTTGTTGTAACGAAGGAACCGGAAAGCATGGCTATGACTGCTGCATCGGCGAGAGCCGCACAAGACGTCAGCAATCATCGCGATGACAAGTAGACATGCAACTGATGTCACAATCGCCATATGTTGTACAAGAGACCCTTTTTTGTTTGAAAGTCTGGCAGGTTGGGCAACTTGAATGGATTCTTCCTCATCTGCCTCCACAGCCCACGCAACAGCAATTGTGTCATCATCGTCGTCTTGTCTGGGCTGCTCCAGGTCTGTGCCTTGGCCAGTGCTGCTACCGGTAAATCTATTTGCACGAACCGCTGATCTCCAAACATACGGGGCAATCCCGCTTATACTGTAGGCTCCAGGCCCACCGCGAATGCCCATACTAATTTCCGCGTGCGAGTGGCAGCGGTTGAATCAAATCCAGGGGGTTGATGAGGCTATCATCTGACATTGGCAGACAACTCCTATTGCCTAGGCCATCCTCTCTCACTCTTCCTCTCTTTCGAACCTCAGCGAGAATTCTGTTTCAAGCATGTCCTGAATAAATCTTAGAGGGATTCTGTAGATCTGCGTCTTCCCTCTGCGACCAAGATCCTCGTCGTTGATTTAAATAAACGTTTCCTGGTTGACACCGACACGGTACTTTTTGGTGGGTTCCTTTGTCACAATAATTGTACAACCTTCTCCGCGGTACTCGTAGACATCAAACCCGCAAAGAGGGTGTTTGGTCCGGTTAGCAAACGTGGGAAACTTTTTCACCGCTGGCAGGGACTGTTTTGATGAGAAAGCCAACATTGATACTTCCGAGTTGCTCCGGATACTGTTCCATTTGCTTGATAAATTTAGGGATCTCCTCTTTCAAATCGTGTCTCCAGCTGAACTCGATCAATACATGGGGATTTAGATATGTCTTACACTCAAGCTCTTCACACCACTCTTGCTTGGGTTTCTTGATTGCTAAATCCTCAACAACCCTCACCCTTGCTTCCCCGAAGATAGCCAAATCAGGGAATCTACTACTACCATCCGAGAAGAGGATTTGGGACTTCGTGCTACAAAGCACTCCCGAACCGCACTCACGCAAGACCTTGGCTTGCAGCCATTCAATCGACGTTTCATGAAAATCGGTAGGCAAGTCTAAACGGTAAGCCTTCCCAGAGGACACTAGGGTGAGAGCAATACGCTTGTAATCATCCAACAAACCAAATTCCTCGAGATCTTTCACGAGCTCTGCTTCACTAGTGTACTCCTTGTTCTTGATCTCTTCGGGGAACCCGTCTTGATTGTATGCGCGTTCGGCGGCTATATCCACCGCCACGGCCAAGCCTGTATTGGAAACACCGGCGGCAGTTGTTGCCGTGGTTGACTGAGTTTCCTGACTTGATGTGGAGTCAGGTGACTCTGCTTTGCTTCCGCTCTTGGTCTTTGGTGTCTTGCAAGACTCAGCTGACAACTTCCCTTTCTCCTCCTTGCTTGTTGTGGTATTCAATGTGTCCCCCAACCCAGACACCTCGATTGGGTGCAGCTGTGAATCCACCTTCCCCTTCTTCCGACCGTCGAGAGTGCTGCTCATGGTGGTGAGAGCGCAATTTTATAAGAGTGTTTTCGCCAACCACGAAGGGATGTTGCGAATTTGGTGTGTACTGTTGGTGTGGTTGCGGTGTGTTGTTCCTTGGTGTGTTTTGGTGTGTTTATTTAAGTGGCAGGTTCTTTTCACCTGGTAAATTGGTGTGTTCAAGTGTGTTTATTTAAAGCAGCAGTGCATTTCTCTGGTAAGCTCATTGTGGTAGTGTGTTTTTATTTAACGGCACACTTTACCTTGCAGGCTAAAAAATGGTGGTTTTTGGTGAAGGTTTCAATGCATTGACCAACTGAATGGCAACATGTCTCGTGCAGCAACAACAGTTTCACTCAGTTTCCAACACAAGTTAACCAACCAACAACTGCATTGCTTGGCTTAAGCAGCTGTAGATAAATCCAGGTGCTAAAGCCAGTTAGGGCCACCTGAAGAATCTATTTGTATCAGCAGGTGGTTGCAATCACACACCACCATGTCTGTACGCCGAGGAGATCATTGTTTGTTGTTTCCATTCTTGCTCATAAGTATAATAATGTCTGATGATCAGAGAAGGCAGCGGGAGGTTTACCACCAGTACCGCAACTTGCGGATGCCTATCGAAGATGGCTACAATGTTTTGAGAACTATCATTGAATTTCTTCTTGGTCACAGCTATATGGTACATGTTATTGACGAAATTAATGCAAACACACAATCAACAAAGAAGTGAAACTAGCTATAGAACTTAGTATTATTCTTTAGTTGGTGGAAGTTTGGTACTATTTTGGTTCTAGTGAAAGCTTGCGTGTTTTGTACTCACTATTGTATAGTCGCGCAAACGCATACGCATACGCAAAATTAATAAGCCCCACCACGAAGTTGGCTTGGTTATAATTTTAGTTTTTCGTCTGTCGTCCTAACGATTTTTGTGTTATGGGTTTCCACAGGCTTGCTAGTAGTACTGCACTACGCTAAAAGCTAGTGTAAAGATCTTTCGAGTGTTTTGAGTTTGAGAGAATGAAAGTTATGAGCTGTGACCCTTGTCAGGGCGAATGCAATACACGGCTCTTAGCCTTAGTCGCGACTCGATCCTAGATAGGGTTTGATTCGACTCATGACTGAGTCTCTCGTGAATAGTCATTTGAGACAGGGTTCTCAATGACCGCTCTTAGTCATACTAGGTTGATGATGAAACATCGCTCTCAGATATTTAGCAGCGTGGAGTACTTCCACGCTACTAGATCCATGCTAGACAAATCTTCCACGCGTTCCGTTTTAGGATGTGGAGATACGTAGGATTCTACCGCAACCTACTCTATCAACTTTATAGTCTCCCGCGGGAGACCAGATCTACGATCCTTGATGATGATCTCTCTCGTTGATTAGTTTTCATAGCTTTCTATCTCT